TAAAAAAGTTCCCTGACCCCTGTTATACATACTGTAAATCCATAGCAATTAACTTTTAATTGTGCATGGATTCCCAGGAAAACCTAACCAAGCAAGTAATTTAGGGAGGATGGCATGGTGGCAACCACTAATGGCAATATAAAACATAGATGGCTGAAAGCGCAAAAGAGATCATGTTGGATTAGCTGGGTGTGATCTTTAAAATAACCCTTTAAAATGATTCTTCCATCTAAATATGATCCAGTCCCATTCAAAAAACAAAGCAGCCCTACAACTATACCAAAAAGGTCTATCCTGGACAACAAGCAGGGTTGGGTTGAATCACAATCTCATGTATGTCAACTGGTCACCAGCAAACAAAGTGAACCATGCAGTACTCAGGGCACTAAAAAAATCTAAATAATCATCTGATTGCACCCTTACACCTTTATTCTGAGAACATATGAAAAGACAGTAAACGCAACTGGATCAACACCTAGATATTATCAGGATTATAAGAAGCAGTTACTCATTCTCAGGGGTGAACAGTCAATAGCTAATATGATATTCTTTTCCTCACTGCAGCAGCCATACATTCCCTTCAGCAAAATACTCAGCTCACATGGTTCAGTAAAAGAAGCCTCATGCCTCCATAAAAGCATCCTTTCTTGGGATCTCCTTCCCAGGAATGATGCTTTCACTGTTTAATTCATTATGTTCCACATGTTAGTTCACAAAATGTTGAGCAAATATGTTAAACAATATGGATAGAGCTGTTAAACAGGAAGCTGGTTCAGTATCACAGAAAACAGTGGGAAACTGACATTCATATTCAGACAGCAGTGTTCTTAAAATGGCATAAAGCCATTTTTGAAACATGTTTTTGCTTTTTTTTAATGTTTGGCAACAAAGTACAATGTTGCTGTATCCTATTGTCACATGTTGCCTATTTCAAATTAAGCTATCACACAAAGCTAACAAGGAATACTTATCAAACTGCTTTGATAAAAAAATACCTATAAAAATTGATTTAAAAATTCTACCATATTAGTAGTCTATCTTTCCAGGATGCTTGAGTTTTATTATACTAAAACAGATATAAAATTCCTTGGCCTGCAATTTTTAAGTATACAGCTAAAATATCAGTTAATATCCAAATACAATTTTACAATTGTTTATAATTTTAATAACATTTCTTCTTAGATTAATCAGGCTTATTGTCAAGTAAATATACATAGAAATACAGCCTTAAATTAGATTAAGTGTTAAACCACTTCAGTTTTATTAAGGAAAAACTACAGAGTGTGCTTAACAGATACTACTTCATTCCATTCTACATGATGTACTAAAATGCAGGAATACTAAATTTAAAGAAGAAGAATAACTTGAATTTTTTGTGTCTTGGTCAGAGTCATATTGTTCTGTTGAATAATCAGTTAAATTAAGCAATTTTGTAAAAGCATGCTTGACTGAAAAGGCGAGTGTTTATCAACCAGAAGACTTTAAAAACCCTAGCAAGGGAGACATGCCCTATCAGCTCCTATACTGTAGTAGAAAATGCCTTTTCTCAAATGATTCCAGCTAGCATTCATGCATGGATCATCTACAAACAAACTATGCTTTTTGTGATTATTTTCACTCATACAAATTTATCAGTAATTTTCACACGATAATCTATTATTTCTTTTACTGAACAGCAGTCATTTCTATTTAATAAAACATTGCAGGGGAATACCCAGCATTGCAAAAGACACTAAATATTCTCCAGGTGACTGTATATGTTGAAAACAAAAGGCAATTCTCACAAATAATGGTCAAAACAAGTCATCAGTTATCACAATTAATGTATTCAGTTCTGAACAACAAATGAGGGAATTTGATTTTTTTCCTCCCTTCCAGTTGTTACTAAAAGCTGGCATTTCTATAATCTAAATTTAATCAGGCAATTAAAGCTATTTTCTTATATAATTGTTTACTATTGCTAAGGATACACCTACATGTAAAATACCTTGAATGGTCCAACTTTAGAAGAACAAATTAACACTATTGTATAGTCATTTTTAGTTTATCATGAATGCCTGCCAATGTACTGGGCTGTCAGAATTAGCTTTTGCAAGGTGTCTGATATGTTTTGTTCAAATACACACACAAAGAGAGAGAGAGATTCCATATTGTTCCTTTCTGATTGATAAACTGTGAATCAAGCAACAAACGAATAGGTGCTAACAATGTATGTCACAAACGTAAGCATGCTAAGTACAAACATTTTCCATCGGATTTTTAACAGTAAATGAATACAGAACTGCAATTTTAATGTTTGTTTCCCCAATATTCCTTGACCTTATTCACTTATGGATTTCCTAGCATAACTTATTTGTCTTTAAAGCATGCTCAAAAACTATGGAAGAACTTATAAACTAATGACCACACAACTGTATATTTTGATGCAATACCTTGTGCCTGAGCTGCAGAGCTGTGGGAATATCCAAGAGCCAGGAGTGCAGTTTCCACTAGCTGACTAAAAAGTACATCTTTGCGGACCAGAACAAACTCTGCATGTTCTTCTCGATTATCATATTCAAGAGAAGTATCCAGTTGCTCCACCACACAAAAGACAGGAATCATCAAACCTGGAGAGATAAAAGTGTTGAGTTCACAATTAAAGATCAAAAAATAATTGTTGGATGAGAAAAAGGTGACATCTAGTCCATGATCCTGTTTTCAACGGTGGCAAACAGGTGCCCTTAAGAAGACCACGAGCAGCCTGTGGAAACAACACCTCTCCCATGCTACATGCCCAAAAGCAATTACGATTCAGAGGTATATTGCCTGTGAGCATGTATATTCCATTTAGTTGACAGAACAAAGCCTTACTTGGGCATTCAGAACTCAGAAGAACGAGCACTCTAATCCTGTTTACACATTTCCATTGTTGTCCTCACATGGAAAGTGACTTACTGCAGGAACTGGCCTCCTCTATAGGTGGAAGTTCTCCATAAGATTCAGAACACATGCCTTCCACTCTCTGAATAATGCAGAGAGCTGCAATGGATAGAGTTTATTTTTCTTTAGAAAGTGCCCTCTACATGTAGAGAGTGATGGAAATACACGAGAAAGGGGCAAGTGTTCTCCCCTCTACATATATTACTGCACTTTAATACTGAACACACAAATAGGACTCTATTGAAATTGAAATCGTTTAATTCCTTTTAAAGTCATATAGGCTAACAATCATAGTTTAACTTTATTGTAGTTAAAATGTTTCCATATCACCTCCCAAAGCAGCTAACAAAATGTCATATATATCCCCAGCCCAATTCAGAATACTGTATTTACTACCACAAAACAATTACTTGTTGACTGAAAGAGTATATGCTTTCCTCTGTTCTAGAAAAGGGATCAGAGATGTTCTTTCACTGTGATCGTTAAGGATTCATAAAAAGATTATGAAATGAACTTTTGAAGGGAATTATGTCACTGGGAGTCAGTTAATCACACTTATTACAATCAATATTAGTTTGTCCTAATCACTAATTTGCTGGGTCCAGTTCAAGTGTATTATTGATTATTGATATAGTATTTAATTGTGTAAAGTGCTTTCTAAGGATTTATTCTTAGGAGACTTCAGGATTCTGAGGACTAATTTCCCAATTTTAAATATATGAAATTTAGATTGAAAAACAGAATTGTTAAAGGTGCCTACTGATTTTATTTTTGAGATGTAACCTGAATCCAGGACCCACAGGTCTTACCACACCTCCTATTATCTAAGTGCCCCAACAGCTATTACTAGGACTCATATCTGGCCTTATGTGCCTAGCAGAAGCAAGAAATAGCAATTATTTTATTTCCCACATAACCTTCAAATAAAATCATTCCAAGGCATTGCAGGGGATGGATGGATACCTATAATTGTATTGACCAGGCAAGCCGAGACCAAATAGTATGCCAGGACCAGTGGAGACCTACCTATGTTTAGTTTTCAAACCTAGAACCAACCTTCAGCACAGAACTGTACTATATGCTGTAAAATCCCTGAAGTACTTGAAGGCTTCCCTTTTACTTTTTGCTGCCTGCCAAGGAATTTCAAATGATCCTTGTTTGCTCACCTTTTCTATCTTTTTCTGGGGACATCAAAAGGCCACCCAAGCCCATAAAATCTGCAGATCAGAAAATGGCTAAATCAATCAATTTGCATTTCTTCTCCTCTTCTTGGACACACTACCTCTCACTGAAGATGACACAACTCTTTCTAGTTTGTGGCAGCCAGCTATGATACATAAACCAACTACATCTCAAAGATCAAGAGACACTGTGCTATTGTCACCAAATGCAGTGAGAATTAGACATAGCAAAGAAGACAAACAAATAGTCAGTACACACAATATCATAATACCATCTGTGCATCTAGGTTTTAACAAGTTTAAGAAGTGCCATACTGCACAATTCCATTTGTATTAAAACACATTTCTGCATATAGAACAATTTTTGTTTACATTTACCATAAGGAAGATCTGCACAATTAATAGGTTTGTTCTGTGGTTACCACACTGTGTGCTGTGGCACCCTGAGGCACCACCAAACCCGGACAGGGGCAATGTAGAATCCTGTGTTGTCCCAGAAACGTTGAGCTTGGCTTCGCTGGCTGGCCACTCTAATGGCCTCTTTGCAATACAGAGGGGGAGAAAGGCAACAGAATTCAGCTGCTACAGCAGAAAGAGAAGTCTGCAACATGAAACTAAGGCCCACCACTCTTGATGGTGTCAAGATGATGAGGGTCCCATGGAGGAGTTGGAAAGAGGCATGCACATGGGAGGGGGGTGAGCCTGGATACTCAGCTGGGCTCTACAGCAGCCCCTTCAGAGTTGGGAGCACCACCACCGTGGCTAATCTCCAGCTGGTCTCTCTGCTAGGATCCTAGCTGCCCTGCCATACATGAGACAATGAGAGCCATGGCAGCCGCCCAGGGCCAGGGCTGCTCTCCAGACCAAAAAGGGATACAGGAGCAGTTCTACCTGGGCCATAATGGAGACCAACTGCAAGAAGGGGAAGAAAGAGGGCTGACAGTTCAGCAGTCAGAGAGGGGAGGGAGAGGGAAAGAGAACAGGTCTCAGTAAGATGAGGCAAGCTTGCTTCCTCAGTCTCTATGGAGAAGGAAAAAATGTACTCAACTTACTGGCCACGGCTCCCCAATATGATACTTTGGAGGGGGGAGAAGGGAGAAGCCCAGACAGTGCAGTACTTTGTTACATTCCATAATTGTAAATTATTTTCAGAGAGAGCAAATGGAAGTATTTCTCAAGCCAGACTTCCCCCTCCCTTCTCCCTCTCTAGCCAAAGTATTATATCGGTGAGCTTCAGCCAGTCGCCAGTAAGTCAAGGGAGTCGTGAGTAAAAAAAGTTTAGGATCTACTGATTTAGATAGAACACATTTAGACAGGTATTTGAATACTTCAGTAAAAGAACTGCTCAATTTGTTATTAAAAATTATGCGATGTGTTCAAAAGGAAAAGAACGTACACATAAATCTGATTTATGTAATATTTAGGAGTCTAAAGAGTCTTTTCAAAACATTCTTGTCCCCAGCTGTATTTATGCTGAAGTTTTGTTTGCAACTCCACATGCTATCTGTAGTTTTGTGACTGGGAGGGACTTTTCTGGGCTGAGGTTATTGCATATCTATCCAGCACTAACCAATCATTCCTTCCTGGCTTTGAATTCAAAGAGAGCCCTGCTTCTCTGTTGAGTGATTTTTCCTTCTTTTTCCTCAACTGGTAGCAATTGTTTGTTTGCAGTTGATCACATCAGTTGGTTGCCAATTATGTGTGCAGTACAGTGGTACCTCGACTTGAGAATGTCCCTACATACGAGCAATTCGAGTTAAGAACAGCTCCGTTTGCAAAAAGTTGCTTTGGAGAGAAGTGTCCAGTACTTTCAAAGGAGTGTGCTCTAGTCGTAAAGCAGAGAGGAACCTGCTGTGAACGCTGCAAAGGTGTAGTGGTCTTTATTCTTCTCTTGACGTTTAAGAACAATGTTATTGCATGAGGGTTTGAGAGAAGGAATATCAAAGCGATAGTTTGCCTACATCAGGGGTCAGGGAACTTTTTTACCTTTTACCCCCCAAGAAATTTATATTACCCCCTTGATTCGAAAGGAAGGAAATCATACATTATTTGAATTAAAAATATTATTGAATCTACACAGGCTGTGTACCGAACTAGCAGGATGCACCAAATTTGATAAAGATGTGCACTATTTTTGCTGGAACACATTGCACTCCAGCCATGGTGTGGTATAGGGAGTAGTAAGGTGTCCAATGTGCCTAGCAAGTTGCATTAAATTTTTGCTAGCTTGCAGAGGATCATTAGTGGCTGCCAGAGTGGTGCTAGCAATGATATGCTTGCTAGAGACAGTCAACGCAGAATTGGGGTGGGTGGGTTTCCCTACCACTTTAATCATTTTATGTGCGGTGCACAAAAAAGAACAAACCTGGCTAAAGGTCATGTCACCCACCCTGGTGCAACAGCCCAATATCAAAGGATCAGTGTGCTTTTTTTATCATCATCAATGGAAAACTCAGCAGTGGTCAGAAGATTGGAAAAGATCAGTCTACATCCCAATCCCAAAGAAGGGCAGTGCCAAAGAATGCTCTAACTACCATACAATTGCACTCATTTCACAC